CAATATTCCAAATCCATCACCAAATTGCAATTACCAAAAAAAGAAATGGATCAAGAACAAGAAGCCAAAGTAATGAAGGACCATCACTTCTTGATCGTCTTTTACCCGATCCAAGGCCATATCAATCCGTCCCTCCAGCTAGCGAAAAATCTCGTACGCAATGGTGCAAAAGTTACCTTAGCCACCCAGAACAGTGGCCTTAAACAAATAAAATCTCTCCCAACCCTGAAGGGCTTGTCATATGCTTCCATTTCCGGTGATCAGGACGACGATGACTCACAAAACCAGAAGGATTTTTCAAGCTCCGTACTCGAATTTAGGTGCATAGGCTCCCAAAATCTCGCCAATCTAGTCCGAAAGTTATCAGCCGATGGGGAACCGGTGACCCTTATAGTTTACAGCATCCTGCTCCCTTGGGTGGCTGTGGTTGCCCGTGATCTTCAGGTACCATCTGCTTTTCTTTTTAATCAGTGTGCCACTGTTTTTTCTATTTTCGTCCGCTTCTTCAACAGCAAAGATGGTCTACATCATGGCGAAATGGATCCTCCCATCTCAATAAAACTACCGGCGTTGCCATTATTTTCTTCAAGAGACTTGCCCACCTATCTCTTACCGGATAATCCTATGAGTGGTTTCATGGTCCCTCTGATCCTAGAACACATACAAATCCTGGAGCAAGACCCCGCATCATTTGTTCTTATTAATACATTTGAAGGATTAGAACAAGAACCAATCAAAGAAATCACCAATATGAAGGTTATTTCAGTTGGTCCCTTAATACCATCAGCTTTCTGTGACGGAAATGACTTGACAGACAAATCTTTTGGTGGCGATTTATTCAGCAAATCTGAAGACTATTTTCAGTGGTTACACTCAAAGCCGAAAGGTTCAGTGATCTATGTTTCATTTGGAAGCTTAGTAGTTTTAAAGAATGAGCAAAAAGAAGAGATTTTGCATGCACTAGTGGAATTTGGGAGGCCTTTTCTTTGGGTCCTCAGATCATCAAACACTGAAGAAGAAGAAG